TTTAGCTTTGCACGAAATTCAACACAAACAAACAAAAGTGCCTCGATAGGTTTTTGTGTCGCCATCCCCTCTCAATAAGTTCTAAAGTGTAAGAAACCAATGGTTCCTTCCAAGTCATCAAGAATAACTGACGGTATTTGTTAATTAGGAAAACATAACTATGATTTAGCATTCAAATATTATCCTGAATGAATTTTCACGTAATCATCATCAACATTTATCATTTTTAATACAGTTTGAGTCAAAAACATTGAATAGATTTTAGTGTTTCTAGGTGCCTTTTAATGAATCTGTCCATAGGTTTAATAGTCAGTATGAGAATAGCCCATTCTTAGTTGAAGTGTTTGGTATAAAAGTCGTCCAATGTGGGCTTAAATGAGCCTTTAATTGAAGAAATTATTTTGATTATGGCTTTCTTCTAACAATTAATGTGTCACGGCACCAGTTATGTACATGTACTTTCCTGGCGAAAACTATATTCTGCGCACAGACTATACCTGCACAAAACAGACTGATCACTCATGGAAATATGAAGCAGGCACTTAAGTTATCGAGTAGTTTTTCCTGGTGTGAATTATCCGCCGACTAAATAGAGCTCGTTGCTTTTCGTAAAGGAAGCAGGGCAGGGCCTAATAAGCAGAAAGTAATGCCATTTTTGAGATATCTGTATGTACACTTGTATATAAAAAAAAAGATAATATTTATTTTTGTTTTTAGTAATATAATTTGCCTTCATAATGTATTAAAAAGTGAATCTATTTCTTGGAAAGTAATAGAATTAAAACCTTAAAATGAACAACTTAGTTTAATTTGTATGTGTGATGAACTTTGGAACGATAGTAGTACCAATATTTTAAGTGTTTTTTGTTGTTTTTTCATTTCGCACCATCTTAAGAACTATTGACCAAAAACGCTGTTACTGTTAAAAATGCAATATAAAACGAACTTGTAAACTGTAAAATCACTAATTGAACAATTGTGTTAAAAGAAAGTAAAATAAATAATAAATTACGTTAATAAACTTCAACTATAATATTGTTAATGGACAACTTAATAATATAAGTTATGAAACAGCAACGAAAACTGAAAATCGATAGTTCGCTGGTTAATAAACGCTACGAAGAAAAGATGATTTAACCAACCCTAATGGCAAATTCCGCATCTACTAAGTAATGACCTGTACGTTGAAAACTAAGCAATATTTCTGGAAAATATACGATATATATCTATGTGTGTCTCAGAGGTAAAACTTTGGTGTGTCAAAAAGCTAATATGTAGGTGATTAGACGTGTGCCCATTTGCTGTACGTTAAACTATACAGTTTACTGTTATTTCGTGTATTACTCATATTAAAGGCATAATACACGATAAAATTTCAAGGGAGTATTAATGTCTCATAGTACCTACAAGCAAACTCTTGTTTCTAAAATGAATTTCGTAACATCAACGTCCATCTATAATGTTTCTCAAACTGCACATCCCCGGAGACATGCAATATTAGATATCGATCATTTTAATATTATTGAGATTTGTATAAATGTTAAACAAATAATAAAAGTGCATATCGCCGTGATTTTAATGAATTCAATGATATATACTACTCTGTTGTTAAATTATTCATCACACATAAGGATTTTCTAGATTAGCATTCATAAATTTAAGATTATTGATTTCTATAGCCTCGTGATACTTCAGAACTATTTTAAAAACACAAACAGACCCACATGATCAGTGAATTTCTTCTATCTATTATCTAATAAGCACAGATAGCATAATAGTTATGACAAGAATATGGGTAAGTTTTAGAACCTGGAAGCAGGGATGGAAATGTGAGAGTATACCGTACAGCAACTTCATGAATACCGAAATAAACGGCATTACCTGGTGTATTGTGGAGTGTTGCAATTGCTGTTTCTAGGTTGTTTTTTTAATATTAGTCTCTAAATCGGCGATGACGGGTTCATTCTAGCGCAGAGTTTACGGTGCAGGAACAGTTACCGTATACGTGATGCCAGCTCACTAGAGAATTTCATTAATTTTTACTTAATTTATATTTTTGTGCAGACTCTTGAAGTAATTGAATAATTATTGCATTTTTAAAGTGGTTATAGGAACATTCATTTCTCGCTTCCAACAGAAATTTACTTCACAGGAAACTAGGCCTATTTTTATATGTTCATATTCAAATCCCGCTCCCCTTCCACCTAACCTGATTTTGGAGTGTGCTCCTAGTTCTGAAAATTATTTCCATCCATATAGGAAAGACGTATTTAATTATTTAAAAAAAAATTCCGACCAGTGTAGATAATTTGAATTTCAATTTATCTGAAAGAACTATATTTATGAAAACAGCATTAGTTTTTATATGATCCTGAGTAAATTCTGACCTCAGTTAATTTAAAAACATTTAATGCCGCCTAATTACTCCTCAAATGCGTATTTGTAGCCTATAATAAACATTTATAATACGGGTTTGTTTTTTTAAATAGCTTTTATGCGGTGCAAAGGATGATTTGATTTATCATTCTATTAAGTTTATATGGGTTTAAATAAAAAACAATAAAATATTTATCATTCGATACGTCTGTTTCATTTAATATACCGGTGGTTGAGCGGTACGTTTCCATGCATACAACACCGTAACCTGGAGTTCGTTTACCGACAATGCACAGAACGCAGATAACCCATTATATAAATTTGCGCTAAAACAACGAAAACTGTTTCGCTGAACCTTTGTATGCATAGATCACAAAATAACTAAATCAAGAAAATCAGCATAATGAATAACAATTTTTACAAATGAAATTATGTATTTATTTTAATAATTGTATCGCTTATTCGTTATTCAAATAGTGGTATGGATGCCTAATTACTGAATTGTTTATACTATGAGACAGGCTCTTAGAAGAAATACTATATGGGAATGAAAGCATAATAAAAATTGATTAACTGAGTTTTAATCAATAGGCTTTGTCACACTGAACTTGCTACAATGTTTATAAAGACCATTCAAACTTATGCATCAGAACCATGTAAGTTATGGCTGTCTTTTTCTGAAGTATTTGCTTTACTGGACAATGTTTTATATGATTGTTATTGCTACTGTGCTTACTTTCGTGGTGTCTTCTACCTGAATACGGGTAACCAGTAAGATTATTCTAAGGAATAAAGTTTATTTTGCTTAAATGTATGTGTACATGACACAAATTTCACATTAACTATGTGACGAATTTCAAATGCTCTGAGTAAAACGCCAAAGTAAAACATTCTGAGTTGCAATATCAAGGTTACAATTTGCCCCCCCAGTGGCACAGCGGCATGTCTGCGGACTTCCAACGCTAGAAACTGGGTTTCGATACCCGTGGTGGGCAGAGCACAGATAGCGTATTGTGTAGTTTTGTGCTTAACTTCAAACAGTCAAACAAAACAGGTCACAATTTGGGTCATTATTTACATTTTGAGGTCGAACAAAATTAAAATGAACCCAAGTTTGATTTAGGGGCTTGCTATTCATGTGCAAGTTATCTTGACCTTTGACCCCAAGTCAAAATGAAAACCATTACTGTTATTAAACTAGAAAGAGGAGAATATGTAACCGTTGAATGTGATGATTTGTCCGATCAGAGAAACTTATTCACTGTGTACGTTCGCGTAGGGATACACCAACGCAGGCAATTACCGTTGCCGAGATAACCGTTGGCTGATGTTTCCGTACGTACGTTGAGATTGCGTTTCATGTCAAATAGTTCCAACTAATTGTTGACATGCCCCCTCCCCCGATGTACATGACATCAAAAGTTAACATCATTTAATTATATTATAAAATTATAATACTATATATAAAAACAAAGCTATTCAATAATATGCCTGTATTGCCTGGCTTATCATATTTCTGGAGCTTGAGTACTCGTCAGGTTAAAAATCGATGTTGAACCACATGCTAATCAAATATCAGTTATTAACTGTGTTAATAATGAGAAAGACAATCACCATTTGAAATAATTGCTAACTAATTCTTGGCATATTTTTCCTTGTTACGAAAGTACATATTTATACTATTGCTTCATTCATTTGCTTCTGTAGGCATGAAATTGTTTTGTACTTGCATGGTTTAAGTTCACATTAGTATATCCTGACAGTTTTTAATATATAGTCTAAATTAGCATAAAAACTATATCATCTTAGGTACCACAGAATATTTATTACAGTTTCACAACCATGGGAACCACATGAAAAAAGATTTGTTGTGGAAAAGCATGTAATGTACAGTTATAATGGATTCCATCTTCAAAGTCTACACCTAAAAGTTAACCATGTTAAAACAACAACAAAACGACTTATTGATTGTGAAAATTCTTGCATTTATCGACTGTTCTCACTCAGCAATGGCAACAAAATTATGATTAAGAAGAATCCTACAATGTAATGGCCATAAGTGATTCCTCCCCCACCCCCCTCCGTTCACCTGCTAGTGCCAGAGATGGTGTTCACTTGATCACGTGATCGTCTCCCTTCTGAAACTGCCTTGTCGATACTGTGGGCTGCTTTGGTAGAGGAACCAGACGAAAAAGGCTCCAGCTGCCATCAACTCAAGCGTTTGTGGTAAGTTTACGCTATTCTTTTGTAAAGTTATATTGAGGAAGATATCCTCAACAAGTTAATTATTAATGATACGCGCGTTTTAAGATTTTATTCATTGAATTTGGAACTGAATTTTAGAGTATTGGGGTTTCTTTCAAGCTGCCTTTACTTGAGTCATCTGCGAAGGATTTTAAATGGACAGTGTTTTGTCTGGATAAAATGGCGCCTGTTCTTAGGAACAGAGAATCCTTTTGGGTGATGCTACTCTGCCAGCGAGTCTGTATCTAGAAAGTCATGCATCTTTTAGTCTTTGAGTTAGTGTTTACAGCAAGTTGAATTAAAACGACAAATAATTTGTAATGTTATACTAAATATCATTTTGTTGTATTTTTGTTTGTTTTATCAATTTCTGACATCATTATTAATATCAGGAAGCTGGATTTTACTGTTAATTTTTTATCTATTCTATGATTAATATAGGATTATTAAGCACAGCTATTAATATTATTATACTTTGTAGTTATGTATTTGTTCTTGTACTTTGTATTGTACTTGTAGTATTTTATATAGAAATTGAATTTTTTTTTGCCAAGTAGCCCATTATTTGTTTAAAGTATTGCTCCTCATTATTTTTAATTTAATGAGATAACCACCTATTCCAATCCAGTTTTTTTAAAGCTTTTAACTATTGTTTTTATTAGAAGTTAAAATGTTTTTAAATCTAAAATGCAGAAACAGTAGGTGTTATTTATAATTCATAATATTTATAAATTAGTGCATTTTGTTGTATACTAAATTGTTACTGACAAGTTAAATGTCATTAGATGTCTGTGCATGTGTTAAAAATTTATAAAATTCCTCATTCTTTATTAATTTTATAAGGTCTATAAATGGTATGATATTTCAGAATGGAAACAGAATGGTCCTAGATAACTCATCACTTTGAAAAAAGTATAAGATACTTTTTTAACTAGCTGTAGTAATGTACAATACTTTTATTGTATATTCCAAAGATCATGACCACATGACCTCTCAAAAGGTCAAATATTATTAATGATTCCTGAATGGAAAACTAGATCTACTCTTGAAATGATCTAGAAATAACCCCTTAACTTTCAACTTTACAACAGAGCTCTATTTTTATTATTGATGGGGGGGGGGGGGGGACCTCACTCAATTGTGAATAAGTCACTTGACAGATCCCAGTAGTGTTAAAACTATGAAATACCAGTATCAAAAATACTTATTACTCTTAAAATGCCCCAAAGTGTACACGTGTTTAGTTAAGATAAACGTACAATAATTTCTGATTTATTTCTGAAATATTTTTGTACAAAAGAAGAGGAATAATAAAAAATGTTATGCACTTATTTTTATATTTTCTCAACTACCTGGTTGTTTTTTTCATGTCCAAAGATTTCTTAAATATTGTTATATTAGAGTCCTATTTGGAAAATATTAATTTTTTTTTTATATGTCATTATATTTCGTGATTAAACACGCAAAAGAACTGATCAGGCAGTTTAGTTAGATGGATCAGTTTCTGGATTTGAAAAAAAAAATCTTAGTCATCGAAATGAAGAACTCTTAAAGAAATAAAACATTCATTATGTTTTCAACATTATGTAAAAAAGATACACTACCAAGTCACTTAAGACACAGCTTAAGACCTTCTTCCAAGTCAGATAAGATACACCTGAAAGACTGCCAATTCAATTAAGACACAAGTAAAATAAGAATCCACTGCCAAATCAGTTAAGATCAACTCTAGTAGCAAAGATACGCTACCAAGTCAGTTAAAACACAACTCGTAGATCCATTGCCAAGTTAGTTGAGGCACAACTCAAATAACAATCCACCTCCAAGTCAGTTAAGACGCAAATCAAATATAGATCCACTGCTAAGTTCTTTAAGGTACAAATCAAAGATACACTGCCAAGTTAGTTAAGACACAATTCATATAAAGATCTGATGAAAAGTTAATCAAGCCATACCTCAAAGATCCACTGCCAAGGCAATTTAGTTGCAACTAAAATATAGATCCACTACCAAGTCAGTTGAGACACAACTGAAAGATCCACTAGCAAATCAGTTAAGATGTAACTCAAAGATCCACTACCAAGTCAGCTAAGACAGAACTTAAATATAGATCTGTTGTCAACTTAGTTAAGACACAACTAAAACATGCACTACCAAGTCAGGTAAGGCAAAACTCAAATAAAGATCCACTGTCATGTCAGTTAAATCAAAACTGAAATATAGATCCACTGCCAATTAAGTTAAGACAAAAATAAAATAAAATCCACTGCTGAATTAGTTAAAAACAAATCAAATCAAGATCCACTGTCAAGTCAGTTAAAATACCACTCAAGTAATGATCCACTACCAAGTAAGACACAAATGAAAAAAAGATCCATGCCATATCAGTTGAGATAGAACTCAGATTCACTGCCAAGTTAATTAAAACACAACTCAAATATAAGATCCACTACTGAATCAATTATGACAACTGAAATAAATATCCATTAACAAGTCAGTTACGACATAACTCATAGATCCACTGTCAGAGTGGTTAATATAGAACTCAAAGATTGACTACCAAGTCATTTCAGATAAAACTCAAATAGATACACTGCTAAGTCAGGTAATACAAAACTCAAAGATTAACTGCCAAATGAGATAAACTGAAATAAAGATCCACTGCAACTGAGTTAAGATAATACTCAATTAAAGATTCACTATGAAGTCAGTTGAGACACAACTCAAAGGTCCCCTGACAAGTCATTTATTACACAATTCAAAGATTCTCTGCCAAGTTAGATGAGATGCAACTGGAAGATCCAATGCGAAATCAGGTAAAACACAACTTAAATATAGATCCACTGCCAAGTTAGTTAAGAGACAATTCAAGTAAAGGGCCACTGTCAAGTCAGTTAAGACACAAATCCCATAAAGATCCAATGCCAAGTCAGTTAAGATGTACCTCAAAGATCCACTGCTAAGGCAATGAAGATTCAAATAAAAATCCACTAGTCATTTAAGACACAGCTCAAATAAAGATCCACTTCCAAGACAGTTTAGAAGATTCACTGACAAGTTAATTAAGAAACAGTGCAAATATCCTCTTCCAACTTGTTTATGACAGCTGAAAAATCCACTGCTAAGTTAGTAAAGTCATAACTCAAAAGATCTACTGCCAAGTCAGTTAATTAAGAAACAACTCAAATATTTACCATGTCATTTAAGACACAACTCAAATGAATACACAATACCAACTAAGTTAAAAACAGAATTCAAATAAAGGTCCACTGCCAAGCAATTAAAACAACTTGTATAAAGTTAAAAGTCAGTTAAGACAGTTCAAATAAATATCCACATCCAAGTCAGGACAAAACTCAAAGGTCCCCTGCCAAGTTAAGATGCAACTCGGCAATTCATTGACAAGATAGTTAAGACATAACTGACAAGGCATTTAAATGCTACTGAAATATCCATGACCAAGTCAGATCAGACAAAACTCAAATAAATATCTTCTACCAAGTTAGTTAATACACAATTCAAATGTCTACTATCAAGTCAGTTAAGATACAACTCAAATAGAAGTCTGCAGCCAAGTCAGTTGAGACAAAACTGAAATAAATATCTACTACCAAGTCAGTTAAGACATAACACATCCACTGCCAAGACATTTGAGACACAACTCAGAGGTACACTGTTAATTAAGTCGGTTGCAACCAATCTCAAATGTCTAGTGTTGAGTCAGTTAATGCAGAATTCAAATGTCCAATGCCAAATTACTTATGGCACTACTGAAATAACACTCCACTACTAAATCAGTGACACAACTGAAACAAAGATCCTCTGCTATGTTAGTTAAGAAACAACTTGAAGATCTGCTACCAAGTCAGTTAATCTGCAACTCAAGGATTGACTGACAGATCATTTAAGACACAACTGAAATAATAATCCACTGCTAAATCAGTTAAGATACCAATTCAAATATAGATTCACTACCAAGGCATGTAAGATACAACTCAAATATCTATGATAAATTAGTTGAGATAGAACTAGAAGATCCTATATCAAGTTAGATAAGAAACAATTCCAAGATCTTCTGGTAAGTTAGTTAAAACACATCTCAAGTAATGGTCCTCTACCCAGTCAGTTACTTGCAAGTGACATAAAGATCCACTGCCAAGTGGATTAAGACAAGCACAAATAAAGATATGCTACCAAGTTAGTTAAGGTACAACTTAAACAGCAACTTTTAATAAACACTTAAACTGATGAACTTACCAAGACCATTTAATTGCTATATGGGCATATGATTTTTGTTTTTTTCTGAAAATCAACAATAGGATATGACATTATTGATATTCACTAAAGAGCAAATATAATCAAGATGTCTATTTGCTGAAAATTGATATACTTAAATTTTTCAGTTCAGAATCCATGAAACATCATTTGGAATGGGCAATATATGCTTTGACCCAGTTCATTTCTGCTAAAAAAGTATATGTTTCCAAAAGTATTGAGTTATTGTTTTACTTTATTGTAATATATTCAATAAATTGCATTAACTATTGTCTCAATTCACAGAATTGCTTTTATTTAACCCTATCACCATGGGTCAAAATTTTATTGAACTACTATTTTATGAATTTATGTCAATAAGTTTGGTATCAAACTGTAGATTATAATTCAAGTTTTAGTATTATACATTATTCAATTTCATACTTTAAAAATAAATATTATAAAAACATATCTAAACATCAATTTTTTTTGTGTGTCACGTGGTATGTTGAATGCAGCACTGGTTCATATTAGATGTTTGTGATGTCAAAATACAAAGTCTATAGTTTTGTATGGATTATGAACTCAAATTACCAATATTAACAAGCTAGAATATAAAATAAGAACCTCCTATCTTTTCTATTTGCTGAGATAATGCTCAAGTACTGAATCAAACACAGTGGCCCCTCTCAGCTCTTTCCATGTTTGGAAACAGTCCATTACTTGTG